ATATGATACACAGATCTAATTACTCACTATGTAATTTGCATTCAATAGTTTACTTTCTCCATTTAACACTAAGTTGGAAACTTTTTCATGTAAGTACCTATAGATTTTCTCATTCGTTTTAAAGACTGCTCATCAATCCTTTCATCAAACCTCATTTTCCTTCTGAGTGACAGAAAATTTGTTTCTGTTTTTGTTTATTCACTAATCCCCAAAAAAGTGCTTCAGTGCATCTTTATACTTCTATTTTTGTGCACATGTTCAAGTATTTTAGTCGGATGGATTTCTGGAAGTGGCTTGATTGGAAGGGGTGTGACATTAAAAAATTGAGGGGCGCGCCTGGGTGCCTCAGTCTGTTAAGTGTCCGACTTTGGCTCAGGTCATGATCTTGAGGTTCAGGGTTTGAGGGGTGGGGGGTGGAGCTCTGTGCTGACAGCTCAGAGCCTGGAGCCTGCTTCAGATTCTGGGTCTCCCTCTCGCTCTGCCCCTCCCCTGCTTGCGCTCTGTCTCTGTCTCTCAAAAATGAATAAAGGGTAAAAAAAAAAAAAAAAAAACTGACCACCTGGGGCGCCTGGATGGGGCGGTCGGTTAAACGTCTGACTCTTGGTTTTGGTTGAGGTCGCGATCACATGGTTCTTGAGTTCGAGGCCAGCCTCTGGCTCTGCACTGACCCTGTGGAGCCTGCTTGTGATTCTCTCTCTTTGTCCCTCCCCCACCCTACACGCACCGTCTGTCTCTCTCAAAATAAATAAAGAAAGTTAAAAAAATTGAATACCTACTGCTAAAGTGTCCTCCAGAAATACTAGCAGTTTCCATTCCCAGTAACAATGTGTTGGCGAGCCTGTTTCCTCACAACCTTTTTAACACTACATGTTATGTATTAAAATTTCTGCTGATGTGATGGGTGAAAAGTGGGGTCTTCCTGCTTAAACTATCTTAAACTTACCGCTTAAACTTTGAGCATTCTTTCAAATGTTTGTTGGTTATTCTTTTTCCAAGAACTAACTTTGTATATAGGTTTTGCACATTAAAAATTGTGTTTGTATATGTGATTTTCTTACTAGTTTATAGCAGTTCCTTAAAACGTTGGCTTTCAATTCATAGTAAAGTTATTTCCACTTCTTAATTTTGTTTCTGGACACTTCATTTCTTTTAACTTTTTAAAAAAAATGGAGTGTAATCTGTCAATATTTTATGGCTTTTGATCTTGCATCTTGCTTACATAAACCTTGACTCCCATAATTAAAAAATACTCCCATAATTTTGAAAATAATCTTCATGTGCTCCCTTCTCATTAATAATTTTGATCATTTATATATTATTTCTTAAAAGACAAGCTTTTGGCATTAGTAACCACTTTTTTTTAATCTATCTTATTTTTTATTTTGCATTTTTCTGTTTACCTGGTATCTATTTTTTAAATTTTATTTTGGAGAGAGAGAGAGAGAGAGAGAGAGAAAGAGAGAATGAGTGGGGGAGGGGCAGAGGAAGAGAGAAAGGGGGAGAGAGAGAGAGAGACTTTATTTAGGCTCCGAGCTGATCGTGCTCAATGAAGACTGAGCGTGTCTGTGAAGGGCTCAATTCCACAACCCTGGGATCATGAACTGAGCTGAAATCAAGAGTCAGACGCTCAATCGACAGCCACCCATGTGCCCCTGTTGTTTTTAACACAAATTTTTTTTTTCCCCAGCTTTTTGAATTGACTCCCTTAGTTCACTTTTGGTTTCTAATGAATATATTTAAGGCTATAAAATTTGCTCTGAGAATCATTTTATCCCATGGTATGTCATAGATTTTGAGAGGTAATGTTCTTGTTACATTTTTTTTTTCTTAAATTTTTAATAGTTTCAGCTTTTATTTCTTTACAAGTAAATAAGTGTGGATATAGTTTTGGAATTCGCTTTTAGTGTTTTGGTTTTGTTTTGTTTTACACCGTGTCACGTGTGTTTCTATTTTTTGTGATTTATCCATTTGTGTGTGTGTGTTACCTAAGAGATTATTTTGTGCATGTTCCATAGGCATTTGAAAACAGTGTGTGTTCCTATATTAGTACCATGTTAAGGTTATTAGTTATAATAGTATAATACATATATTATAAATATGGATATATAAATATAAACTCCGTAACATAAAATTAAGCTTATTATCATTCAACCATATTTTTGTATGGCAAGGGTTTTTTCATTCCAAGTAACAGACTCTGACTCTAGTTAGCTTAAACAAGAAAGAAATGTACTGGAGGGGCCCCTGGATGGCTCAGTGGGTTAAGTGTCCAACTTTGGCTCAGGTCATGATCCCATGGGCGGTGAGTTCGAGCCCCGCGTCGGGCTCTGTGCTGATGGCTCAGAGCCTGGAGCCTACTTCACATTCTGTGTCTCCCTCCCTCTCTGCTCCTCCCCCCCTCAAAAATAAATAAACATTAAGAAAAAAGTGTACTGGGAAGGTGTGGAGAAAGTCACTGAATGGATAAAAAGTTGAGCCAGGTGGCATCAACTGGAAACGATGGCATCCAGCCCAGGTCTCAGTGACAAGAAATAAAGGAGCGACTCTCAGGGTAACACGATGCCAGACCTGTTCAGTCTCCTTCCCACCGTGGTGCTTTGCTTTGCCAACCATGCTGGCTGTTGCAAGTCTCGGTGTTTGTCTGGCAGTGGATGCAGGGGTCCTGAATGAGGTGGTAGGTGAGCGCAGTGGGCAGAGCGGGACCAGAAAAACTCTTCTCTACCTCTTGCTTTGCTCCTGGTGGTTGTAAGCCCTCTGGCACACTGCCCAGAGTGTCTGCTTCCATTTTCTCATGTGGGAGAGAGCATCCAGGATCAGGAACCCCATCCTAGACAGCTGCGGTTATCTGCAGGCTGGTGGGAAGGAAATGGGAATATCGTTGTAGGGGGTTAGCAGGGCTGTGCTAGCGAAGGTTTGAGGTTTCCTCTTAGGCGTCTGTGGGGTTTATTTTATTTTGTTTTGTTTTGTTTTGTTTATTTTATATTTTATTATTTTATTTTTTTGAGTGTGGGGTTGTTTTTAAATCAGGTATACTGGGTTTAGTAATCGACCCGATCCCAGCGCCTCTGTATCATCTGGAAATGCCTACTGTCCTGGTCCTCTACTGGTACATTCTCCTGTCTTTCCAGCAGAAATGCCGATTTATTTTTATATTCTTTTCATCATTTCAATAGGTCTTAATGGAGTCAGAAAGAAAAGCAGCTGTTTTCCGCCCTAATTTACTCGGGGTGTCTGTTCTGCACCCCACAGACAGTGGCCTTTATCTCTTTTGGCTCGTTATTCTGATAGTTTACCTTCATATTTCTTTTTGAATTAAAAAAAATTTTTTAATGTTTATTTTTGAGAGAGAGACAGAGAGACAGAGCATGAGCAGGAGAGGGGCAGAGAGAGAGGGAGACACAGAATCCGAAGCGGGCTCCAGGCTCCCAGCTGTCAGCACAGAGCCCGACACAGGGTTTGAACCCACGGACCGCGAGATCATGACCTGAGCTGAAGTCGGACGCTCAACTGACTGAGCCACCCAGGCGCCCCTTCCCTTCATATTTCTAAATAAAAGACTTATTCTTTTATTTCTTGATTTTTCACTTTTAGGCATTGTCTACTGATAGTGACAATTTAGCTCTGTTTTCTACCCCTTCCCCCCCTCCTCTCAACATGGGGCATCACATTTTGCAGTGTTAAGCCCGCACTCCGTGTGGACATTGCCACAACAATGTAAATGTTTGTAGCTAAGCCACGCGGAGTCATAGGATTCCATTTCTTTTCTTGTAGAACTTTTTTTGGGGCAGGGGGAGGGATTTAGTAATTGCTGTATTTGTGCGTTTGCTTAATTTTGTTGGAGCTAGGTCTTACTGGCTCTTTTTTTTTTTTTTTTTTGCATAAGAAATTATCTGAATTATACCATATAATTCTCATTTGGTTCTTGGGACCAATTGATAGTATACGTGCATTTGTTAATGACTCTTGAGACCCAATCATGGGCACCTCTTGCCAAATCTGTTCAGTGACTTCATACTGGTAGCTTCATTTGGCTATTTTGAGAGCATCTGGGTGCCTCAGTCAATTGAGTCCCCTCTTGATTTCGGCTCAGGTCCTGATTCCAGGGTTGTGAGATCGAGCCCCTAGTCAGGCTCTGTGCTCACAGCAGAGCCTGCTTGGGATTCTCTCTCTCCCTCTCTCTCTCTCTGCCCCTCCACTGCTCTCTCTCTCTCTCTCTTTAAAAAAAAAAAAAAAAGGCAATAGTGGGAGTATTTCTGCCATTGAAATCAACAAATGTTACAAATCAGGGCTTTTTCTTTCTTTTTTCTCTTCAGAGAGGTGGTTTGCCAATATACTACTGAATGCACCTATCACTAACATTTCTCTCAAAATTCTCCAGTAGAGTGATCAAATTCCCACAGTAGAGTCAAACACGTTGTATTACCTGCCTGCCAGGTTTTTCTTTGAAGACCTCCCTCCTGGAGATTTTCTCTCTGTGGTCCAGTCCAGAATGGCTGCTTTCTAGGATGGATTCCCAGCCATCCTCCTGAAGACTCTCACCACGTCTCGCCTGTGCTGGGTCACCTGCTTCGTCATTCCTCATCTTCCTCTTTCTTGGCTTCCTCGCTCATTTTGGAGGATGGCATCCTCTAGGTGCTTCCTGGGAAAAGGCTGCGTAGAAGATAAACATTTTGGGGTCACCATGCCCCTGGATATGTTTTTCTCTTGTCAACATTTTTTATTAAAAAATTTTTTTTTAATGTTTTGCTTATTTTTGAGACAGGGAGAGACAGAGCATGAACAGGGGAGGGTCAGAGAGAGGGAGACACAGAGTCTGAAACAGGCTCCAGGCTCTGAGCTGTCAGCACAGACCCCGTCTCGGGGCTCAAACTCACGGACCGCGAGATCATGACCTGAGCCGAAGTCGGCTGCTTAACCGACTGAGCCACCCAGGCGCCCCTCTCCTGTCAACTTTGATTGATATTTTGATCCAATTGCATTTCTAGAATGATCCTCCCACTAGAATTATTATCCTTCCTCGAGATAAATCAATCTCCTACGTCATCGTAATGCCGTTATCGCACCTAAGGAAAATGAGCAATAATTCTGTGTTTCATCTAGCGTGTAGTGCATATTCAAAGTTCCCTGGTTGTTCAGAGAACTTTTTCTGATTGCCCACATTTTTGGTTTTTGTTTTCAAACAAGGATCTGGTACTGCATTTGACTGTTACATCTCATTAGTCTTTGTCAGGGACGGTCTTCCCATCTTATTTTTTCTGATAACACTGGCTGTTTGGAAACTAAGCCAGTTGTTTTGCAGAGCGTCCCACATTCTGGATTGTTCTCGTGGTATCATTAACTTGTCTACTTACTATCACCTTTGTTTTCTGTAAACTGGAAGTTAAGTCCCAGACTGCGCTCTCCAGTATGGTAGGCATTGTGCAACTTATGCTAATGCAAGTGAGAAACTGAATTTTAATTTAAGTTGAAATAATTTGAATCTAAAACTCATGCTCCATTTCATTGTTGGAAAAATGTTAAGTGTGCTTGGAAAAACTTAGGTATGCAAATCTCCTTTTTCAGTGGTAAATTTTATGAAATCTAAATACAGATCAAGCATTTCCAATGAAAACTCATCATCTGAATTGAAATGTGCTTTAAAAATTTTTTTTTAATGTTTTTTTATTTATTTTTGAGACAGAGAGAGACAGAGCATGAACAGGGGAGGGTCAGAGAGGGAGACACAGAGTCTGAAACAGGCTCCAGGCTCCGAGCTGTCAGCACAGAGCCCGACGCGGGGCTCGAACTCACAGACTGTGAGATCGTGACCTGAGCTGAAGTCGGATGCTTAACCCACTGAGCCACCCAGGCGCCCCGAAATGTGCACACTGGATTTTGAAGACTCACTACAAAAAAAGAAGGTAAAATATGAACACTTTTTATATTGATTACATGTTGAAATACTAATATTTCCTACATAGATATGGGCTAAATTAAGTATTTAAATAAATTTCACCTGTGGGCTTTTTGGTTTCGTTTTTGCTTTAGATAGAACATTTATACAGAAAATTTATATTCCCATTGACACGCGTGGTCTAATAGCTTGATTAAATCCAAGTTAAACATTTTTAGTAAGAATATTTCTAGATGATGTGTATTTCAGATTGTAACCCATCCGGGGGCTCCTATGTCAGTGGTCCCACTACAGCGATGCTAACTTTGGTCCCTCGGTTAACGTGGAGACCAGGAACTCTCCATCGTAAAGATAGGCTTCCCTTTTTGCGTTTAAAAGTCTACGCAAATCTCCCCCAAATCCGTTCACCTGATGGTGTTGCCTTTTTTTTTTTTTTTTTGGATGATTTTGCCTTGAACTGATGATTACATTGGGGTTGTCAACTGGTGGTTTCCATATTTTGCCAATCCATCTAGATTTGTTTGCTGGAGCTCCTCCTCCCCTTTTCATAGATCTATTTGGATATGATTTTCCGTATGTATGTGTTTAATGCGTTACAATTAGATATAGACATTCTTTGTATGCTCAGTACGCTTCTGTGCACATTTCCTGCCCCGGACCTGTAATCAACCATTTCTTCAAAGAAGTCTTGTACTTTTAGTGGGGATTCAATTGCTTCTTAAAGCCGCCAGGGAGGACGATTATTTAAGTATAGGGAAAATACTGATGCCGTCTTCTTCAAGATCCTTAACTAACGCTTGGTACAAGAAACCATTAGTTTCTTCACTGCACGTTTAAAACTGCGTCTTGGATAGCCTGAGGTTTCGTATTTGCGAAGTGAGGCCAAAATTGCTTCCTGTGCTCCCTCTCGTCAGCGCATGCCAGGAAGGCCAACTGTCCCAGGCCCGAGACGTCAGCCTCTGCTCCTGGCATTCTCTTTCCCTCCAGCGTCCTCCCCACCCCGTTTTTGTTTTTTTTTTTTTAATTTCAGCTGGGTTATTGTAGCTCCCCACTTTATTTTGCAAACAGTCTTTCCTGCTATATCTCCATATGAATTGGGAGATTAGTTACCTTAAAGCACACAGAAATCACCCATATTTTCCTATACATTTATTAAACACTGATGAAAGGTTATTAACCTAACATGTTAATATTCAAGCACTTCAACCGAATATAATTCCTTTCTCAACCTTTACGATGGTTTTTGTCCCACCTAAGCCAATATACATTTACATTTGGTGTGTGTGTGCCTATGGAAACAGACACATTCCTCAAACTGACTATAAGATAAGCCAGCATGTGGTGTCCTTCTTTCTGGGTATATTAAAATTTCACAGGTACAGTGGTTTAAATGGGAACAAATAAGTCGATTTCCTTATGAGATAAAGTAAGCGTACAAAATCTAAGAAGTATGAAAGGTGCTAACGACTAACCCCATACATCTTTCTCTTTTTCCTGTCCTTTTATTTTTATTTATTTATTTTTTAACGATGATTTACTTTTGAGAAAGAGAGAGACAGAGCGTGAGCAGGGGAGGGACAGAGAGAGAGAGGGAGACACAGAATCCGAAGCAGGCTCCAGGCTCTGAGCTGTCAGCACAGAGCCCGACGCGAGGCTTGAACCCACGAGCTATGAGATCATGACCTGAGCTGAAGCTGGAGGCTCCCGTGCATGGGGCCATTCTTATTCAATAAAAGGCCCTGACATAGAAAGATGAAAAGTGAATAGAACGCATTTTTTCTTTATCAAATTATCTACATAAACTTCCTGAAGAAGTAGAGGAGATCATTTGTGACCGTGAGTTCCGAGGTTGATCTGGCCTTGACAATAAGCTGTTTACTTCATTTATGTTCCACTTTGCGGGTCTACGATTTTGTTTGGCCCCCTATCTTTGTAACTGGGGCGAAGTGGGAGGTTCAACTGGTCTGAGAACACTTAATGTGCTCCATAAACTGTCTGAATCGAAGATTTTAATTTATTTTTCTGCCAAACACAACTGATTTCCATCTACAACTTTTTTTTTTTTTTTTTTTTTTTTAAGGTAAGAGACACGAAGTCAACTGGAGAAGCATATGTGGCCTTGAGCTATGGGACATTACTTCCCTTTAACAAGCTACTGAGAAATGTTGAACCTCACTTTGGTGTAGTCAGTGTTGGTCTTCGACAGTGAATGGATACACCGCCAGGTACACATCCTCGAGTTGGAGTCATTCCTGTAATAGGGATCTTCAATAATATATTGTTTTTGTGGATCAGGGCTCCCAAGTAGTTCAGTTTTAGCTTGGCAGTCTTTAAGTTGATTACTTTTTTCTTTTTTGTGTGTGTTATTTCTTTAAAGATTTTTAAAATGTTTCTTTATTTTTGACAGAAAGAGACACAGAGCATGAGCGAGTGGGGGAGAGGCAGAGAGAGAGGGACACACAGAATCCGAAGCAGGCTCCAGGCTCCGAGCTGTCAGCACAGAGCCTTAGGTGGGGTTCGAACTTGGGAACCGTGAGATCACGACCTGAGCTGAAGTGGGACGCTTAACCGACTGAGCCACCCAGGCGCCCCATAAGTTGATTCCTTTTTCTATTCAAATCTTTCAGATTGCTCCTTACATCCATTGTTGGTATATAATCAAACGAGGCAAAGTCTTCTTTGGCAACTTCCCTATTTCATGTGGACTTTGTCGCACATATCCTCCAATTACCTGAAATGTTTTCGTCAGTCATGGGCTCTCTGAAAACTACTTTTGCAGTGAATGGCTGGCAAGGGTTCCCCGCTCCACTGTCTTCCCACAGGCAGACTCCCTGACGTGGTGTTCCATTTTGGTCATGTCCCAGTCTCCATGGCAAGCTCAATACCACGTTCCAGGGAACTTCCCAGACCACCTGAACTTGGATAAGCCCTTCCCTTCCTGAGCAGTGATATCAAATTTTGATTAAAAAAATTTTTTTTATGTTTATTTATTTTTGAGAGAGAGAGAGAGAGAGAGAGAGAGAGCACAAGCAGGGGAGGAGCAGAGAGAGGGAGAGACAGAATCCGAAGCAGGCTCCAGGCTCCGAGCTGTCAGCACAGAGCCGGACGCGGGGCTCGAACCCACGAACCGGAAGATCATGACCTGAGCCGCTTAAGCGATTGAGCCACCAGGCGCCCCTGAAATGTTGATATTTTACAAAATATCCGTGTGTAACAGATTGAAAATGTAAAAACCAAAACAGAACTGGTTCATCATCAATAATTTGAGAAGGACTGCTTCTGCTAGACTGGTACTTTGTGCACATAAATTTCCTGGGAGTATTGTTAAAATGCAGATTTAATTCAATAGGTCTGTTGTGGGGCTCAAGATTCTGCATTTCTAGCAAGCTCCAGCCAGTGCTGATACTGCTAATGTTGGGACCACGCTTTGAATAGTAAGTAAAATAGATTTAGCTTTGACTCGCATATAAGAGGGGCATGTAAAAGTGCGAATTCTCACATATAAAAGCGAGAATAATCATAGCAGTATGCCAAGAACAATGTAAATGTAAACAATGGAAGTGTCTTGAATGGGAGAATGGGTAAATTAATTGTGGCGAAGTCAGCAATAACATATATATCATCAGTGCAAGTGAACTAGATTAACATCAATGTGGATGACTTTTACAATAATTTTAATATTTTTTACATAATTTGAAACAAAATGTAAATTGCGCAAAGATATGTAAAGTGTTTATATAAAGCTTAAAATTATACAAAACAACACTATGCATGTAGCAATGCATACAAAGTAGTAAAAACATAAAGGTCCACCTAGAAATAATAATACCAAATTCAGGAAAATATTTCCTCTTGTGGGGAGGGAGAGGTATGTGACTGAGGACAGGCAACCAGGAAGATTCTATTCTACTTTAATTAAAAAAAATTTTTTTTTAACGTTTATTTATTTATTTTTTTTTTTTTTAATTTTTTTTTTCAACGTTTATTTATTTTTGGGACAGAGAGAGACAGAGCATGAACGGGCGAGGGGCAGAGAGAGAGGGAGACACAGAATCGGAAATAGGCTCCAGGCTCCGAGCCATCAGCCCAGAGCCCGACGCGGGGCTCGAACTCACGGACCGCGAGATCGTGACCTGGCTGAAGTCGGACACTTAACCGACTGCGCCACCCAGGCGCCCCTCGTTTATTTATTTTTGAGACAGAGAGAGCATGAACGGGGTAGCTGTCAGCACAGAGCCCGACGCGGGGCTCGAACTCACGGACCGCGAGATCATGACCTGAGCCGAAGTCGGCCACTTAACCGACTGAGCCACCCAGGCGCCCCCTACTTCAATTTTTTTTTTTAGCATTTATTCATTTTTGAGAGACCAAGAGCGACAGAGCATGGTGGGGGGCGGGAGGGGTAGAGGGAGGGGGAAACACAGAATATGAAGCAGGCTCCAGGCTCTGAGCTGTCAGCTCTGTCTCACAAACCACGAGATCATGACCTGAACCGAAGTCAGACGCTTAACTGACTGAGCCAGCCAGGCTTGTTGTATTTTATGCTTTTCAGTGGCTTTAAATATTTCATAATTGGGGGCGCCTGGGTGGCGCAGTCGGTTAAGCGTCCGACTTCAGCCAGGTCACGATCTCGCGGTCCGTGAGTTCGAGCCCCGCGTCAGGCTCTGGGCTGATGGCTTGGAGCCTGGAGCCTGTTTCCGATTCTGTGTCTCCCTCTCTCTCTGCCCCTCCCCTGTTCATGCTCTGTCTCTCTCTGTCCCAAAAATAAATAAACGTCGAAAAAAAAATTTTTTTTAAATATTTCATAATTGGATTTAAAAAGCAATTCAAATTCATTCAATGTATGTTTACCCGACTTAAAAAAATTCCACGAAGGAAATCTCCAGTATATTCTTTCCTTTTCAAAGGCCTTGCAGGGTAAGGTCACAGAGATCTGAAAGAGGAAAAAGGGGTGGTTTTGAGAACTTTTGCTTTTTTTCTCCCCTCAGATTTGTTTAAGGCCAGTTAGAGTCCAACTCGGGTACAGAGCGCCTAATCGTCCCGCCAGCTGTGAGTAAAGAATTCCCGCACCATGACTTCCATGAACATAGTTAATCCGGCACCAGTTACATCCTGTTACTCAGGAGCCGACCACCCTCCTTCAGGCCACCACCACCTCCTGCCTAGGTGACGGGGCAGCCCCTGCTTGGTCTTTCTGCTTCCGCTCTTGACCCTCACATGGTCTTTGCCTCATGACACCCAGAGTTACTCTTTCCAAAAAAATCAGAAAAGTCATTTCCCTGCTCCCAACCATGACTGGCTGGCTCACCACAGTATCTAGAAAGGAGTCCACAGTCCTTAGCATGACCTCCTTGGCCTCCATGAGCTGGTCTGTCCTAGCACTCTGACCTCATGTACTGCTCCCCCCTCTTGACCCTACACTCTGGGGCCCCGGCCTCCATGTTGTTTATCCGATGCACAGACTCATTCTTTGTTCTTTTTATTATTTATTTATTTTGTGTGAGAGAGAGAACAGGGGAAGGGCAGAGAGAGAGGAGAGAGAGAATCCCAAGCAGGCTCAGATGTGTCGGCACAGATCCAAAAGCGGGGCTCGAACCCATGACACCATGACCTGAGCCAAAATCAAGAGTCCGATGCTCAACTGACTAAGCCACCCAGGTGCCCCAGGCTCATTCATATTTCAAGGCTTGGAGTGCCCTTGCCCTGCCTGGATTTTCTCTCGGGTCTCTCCTTCCCACCATCCTGGTTGCTGCTCGAACGCACCTCCTTAAAGAGGCTTCCTCTGACCTTGCCATCTAAGGGGGTCCTCCTCACATTGTTCTTGTCCCCTTGAGCCACTTTATTGTTCTTCTTAGCCCTGATTGTCACCAGACACTGCATTAGATCTCGGTTTATTGTCTGCCCCTCGTTAGGCTTGACCATAAGCTCTTGGAGAGCAGGGACTTAACTATTTCGTTCTCCGCTTTATCTCCAGGGCCTGGAGCAGTGCCTGGCACATAGTAAGTAGTCTGTAAATCTTTGTGGAATAAACAGATGAATGAATCAGTGCATGAGAAAGCCAGGGACTTTTGATAACCTGATGTGGCTGAGCTGGCCACATTTAATCTACTAATTGGCAATAACTCAGGAACAATCTTGACATATTTTATTACCAGTTTAGAAACCACTAGGTACTTGATCAAACATATTCGTCATTGGTTATTCTTGGATCTTATGAAGTTATTAAGTAGTCCCTTTTCCCAGCATGCAGTTCAACAAGTTTGTATTATTTATTAAAAAAATTTTTTTAATGTTTAATTATTTTTGAGAGAGAGAGAGAGACAGAGACAGAGACAGAGCGCGAGTGGGCGACGGGCAGAGAGAGAGGGAGACACAGATTCCGAAGCAAGCTCCAGGGGGTGCGGGCTCTGAGCTATCAGCACAGAGCCCGATGCAGGGCTTGAACCTGCAAACAGTGAGATCATGACCTGAGCCGAAGTCAGGTGCCCAACCGATCTGGGGCCTCCCAGGTGCCCCAAACAAGTTTGTATTAATAAGCAGGCTTTCTACATTCTCAGGAAAGAATGACTGTCTTAGTGCTCACCATGTTCTAGGCACTTTGCATATATTATGATTTCATTTACTATCCCATGTCATTGTCCACCCCAGCAACTCTTTGAGCCAAATGTTATCGTTTTGTAAAGAAGGAATCTATGTTCAGAGAGGTTAGCTGTTTGCCCAGAGTCGCAAAGTTCCCATGATCCATATAGTCTCATGATCTACATCAGGTCGTCTATTGCATGCTTATGTGACAGTCATTAAATGCATCAATGAATGTTAGTGCCGCGAGGACTTCTGGATCCAGTTGGAGATTGACTTGGGGACTTGTCCACGCACCTTCCGTAACAGGCGAGCCAGTCTAGAAGCTCACGGCCGCCTTCCACATGGCCTCTCTCTGTTCCGAGTACGTACGGCTCTTCCTGACAGTTATTTGCAGACTCCATTTGTGAACTCATCTCCTTGCTAAAATTGATTTGTTGTCCTCAAATAAGTCCCTGGGTCATTCACAGCCAGACACACAGCGTGGTGAAAATTTTGAGTTGCCCAATGCGCACGTTCCCAACCGAGGTAGAACACGGTGGCATTCTGCCTGCTTCCATTAGCTTGAATATTATAAATGTCCCTCTCGCGGTCACTTTAGTGCCATGCTTTTTGGCATTGCTCTGTTTTTCGTGGGTGATTTGCTCTCTAAAGTGGCCCCCGAGTGTCGTGCTGGGGTCCTGGCAACGCTCCTGAGCACAAGAAGGCCGTGAAGTACTTTACGAGAGAAATACGTGTTAGATACGCTTTGCTCAGGCATGAGTTACAGTGATGTCGCCCCTCAGTTCAATGTTAATGAATCAACGATGTATATTAAATAAGGTGTCTTTAAACAGAAACACACATAAAACCAGGTTATGATTGGACTGCTTGACAAAAATGTTGTCGCCGGAGGCTCACAGGAACCTAACCCTGTTTTTTTCCCTGCAAATTCAGTAACTCTGTTCACAGTGACTTTACAGGACATTCACTTTATGGTGAATAACGAGATCGGCTGTATTTTTGTAACACGCCATACAGTTGCATCTGGTCACAGAGGCCAGTAAGAAGGACTGATGAGAAAAAACAAAAACAAAAACAAAAACAAAAACAAAAACAAAAACAAAAAAAACAACCCCGAAGGGAATTACTTAGCTATAACTTAAAGGATCACAGTACTTTGTTGCTGGTAAAACAGTAGTTAAATCTCTGTGCTTTGGTGATTGATCTATCTAGAATGGGGACGTCGTGAGAACGTGAAAATGGTATTCTTGCTGTCAGTTCCCGATTGCATGCTATAATTTGAGGATTCTTATTTCTGACCTTGTCTAAGCGCAGCCGAACGTTCTCGTTGTTAAAATGGGAGATAAGGGGCGCCTGGGTGGCGCAGTCGGTTGAGCGTCCGACTTCAGCCAGGTCACGATCTCGCGGTCCGTGAGTTCGAGCCCTGCGTCAGGTTCTGGGCTGACAGCTCAGAGCCTGGAGCCTGTTTCCGATTCTGTGTCTCCCTCTCTCTCTGCCCCTCCCCTGTTCATGCTCTGTCTCTCTCTGTCCCAAAAATAAATAAACGTTGAAAAAAAAATTAAAAAAAAATGGGAGATAATTGTAGTTCGATGGAAGGAGCACTCAGTTTGGAGTGAGAAATTCTGGGGATGAGTCAAAACTCAGATGCCTACTGGCTGTGCAACCTTAAGCACATTTGTGAACTTTTCTGGGTCTTAGTTTCCTAATCTGTAAAAAGAAAGACAATACATAGGCAATATTAGCTAACTCACACATTTCAGGTGTTCCAAGGGCTTTTCATTAACCCTCACAACCCTGTGAGGAAGACATTAATACCTCCTTCTACAGGGGAGGAAATTGAAGCCCAGAAGTGACTGGCTCAGGATCACACAGCTAGAGAGAGTGGAGCTTAGTCTATGAGCCCAAGACACTGGCCTTAACCACGGTTCCTGCCTCGGTGGCCCTCACCGCCTGCCATCTCAAACAATGCTGGGGGCCGGGTGGCATATGCTTATGCATATAATACACAATCAAATGTAAGGTATTACTATTTTTCGCTAGGGTTAGCATTTCGAACTTTAGTATTTCAAAAGGGAAATTACCTTAAAGAATTAAATTAAATTAAATTACCTTAAGGTAATGTGGTTTTCAAAAAGTTTGTTGGAATCATTTGGTATGCTTTTATTCTTCCAGGGACCAGCTTTTGATGGGGGAGGTGGGGGTCAAGACTCATTTCTAATTTTATTTTTTTTATAAATTTTTTTAATGTTTATTTATTTTTGAGAGAGAGAGAGAGAGAGAGAGAGCACAAGCAGGGCAGGGGCAGAGAGAGACAGAGACACAGAATCCGAAGCAGGCTCCAGGCTCTGAG